GAAAGTGGAAAGTTTCTCTGAGCCCTCTGATCTGATTTTAAGGGGGTGTGGCCTACAATCATGATTTTTGACATCACAAATAGTTAAGAAGTCAATCCATTATGCAACTTGGACAGGTGTGATGTAGAAACTTGAAGCCCCCAGTGAACATACACTGAGAATGGACTTTACAGTGGAGTAGGAGACTTGTGTCCGGCAGGAATTTTTAATGAGGTAGAATGAGTTGATGCCTTTTTAAGGATTTTAATGTGGAAAAAACATATGAGACAAAACATTATTGTTCCAAGCAGACTATTTTTATATATGTCTTAATACATGTCTGAAGGGGATCTTTAAAATTTTGGTCTCTGGTGTGATGATCAATAGTTACCAGAGTTAAAACACTGACTACTAACCTGGCACTCTGCCTCAACACAACTTTCTTTCTGTCTGGTATCACTCAGGGTGATGTAACCAACCGTCTGGCAGCCACAGTGGAGGTCAACAGCTCCTGGGCTTTTGTGACTGTGATCAAATATAAATGTGCACCTTTGCTGTGCTAAGAGAAGTGAGTTTTAGGGAAAGAACGATTGGTCAAAAGAAAATGAATCAGCAATTATTCTGATGATCATTCGAGTAAAAATAGTACAAACATTTGTACCAGCTTCTTAAATGTGTATATATTCTGCTTTTCTCAGTTTTATATCATTGTCAAGTACAGATCTTTGGGTTTGAACTGTTGGACAGATAAGACAAGACGTTTGACTACATAATCTCGGATATTATTTGAGTTATTCAATTAAAAGAAAAGCTTTTCTCTTTTTTATATCACATTAAACTGAATATCTTTGGGATTTGATTGTTTATCAGGACAAAACAATCAATCCCCTCAACGAGTAATGGTTTCAGAAATACTAGCCAATGTATTAAAACATAAACACTCGTAAATGCTTCCTGTTTTGACTGATTCTACGTCTGTAGAATGAGTTAGAAAGGCACACATCCGTCTGCAGGTGAAAGTGTGATTATGGTGTTGTTGTATCATGTTGGGATCCTGATACTGATGCAGAACAAGAACCTGAAGCTGAATCAGGACAAGTTTGTAGCCAAGTTATTTTTCCGAAACACTACTGAAAATCTGTGAAAAGACTGAAATGTAATGAGGTGCTTCATTTTTAGTCTGACAGAGCTTCTAAAAACACATTTGGTTTGTCATTGCGATGTGTTGTCGGTACATTGTTCAAATGTCTTTTTTCCACTAAAGACTAAATAGACTCTCAGATCTAGATGAACTTCATGTTTATAAAATGTATTTCCAGCATAGATCCCTTCACAGCTCATCAGTCCCCTCTTCAAGGTCTCCTGTTCTTTTTTTTTAAGTGGTTGGTTGGATCACATTTGACACACACACACCTTTCCACATTACTCCTTCTTCTCCAGCTCTTCTCAATTTCTCTTTCATCTTTCTCTTCCTATTTGTTCTTTTATTTCCTCTGCAGATGATGCGTCTTCGTGTGTCGTCTTTGCAGCGGTCAGGGCAGAAGCGTCAGGATGGTGAGCGTCTGCTTCTTCCCCATGAGGCCGTGTACCGGCTGGACTTCTCCACTCAGGAGCTGAACTTCTCCCGCTGGTACTTCTCCCTCATCGCCTACGGCCGTGTCACCGTCACCGGCATTTCCCAACACTGGACCCCTGACCTCACCAACCTGATGACCCGTCAGCTACTGGAACCGATCGGAACGTTTTGGCGAAACGCTGACGACCCTGAGGATTCACCGCTCAAATGGCTGGAGGCAGACATGCAGGAGTTTGGTGAAAGAATTGCTGAGCTGGCCAAGGTCAGGAAGGTCATGTACTTCCTGTTTGCTTTCAAGGATGGGGCAGAGGCGGCGAATCTTAGATGCTCGGTGGAGTTCACACCAGATAATTGACTCTTCTCTTTTTGCCAGTAGAATACTAGAGTACTGGAAAAGCATCACAATATTTTGTTCAATCTTTGACCTTAAAGCTAGAGCTGATTGAAAACTGCATCTTTTTTTAAGCAATTACCTAAATCAGTTTAAAAATTCTCCCTCAAACACTCTGATTAACCTGTAAATGTACAGTGACAAGATTGTAGTTCCACTTATTGTGCACAACATAATTTGCTACCATTCATTCTAAAATTTTAGCACAAAGAGCAAACTTTTAATGTCGCCTCAACAGACAAGTCAAAAGAAATTTAAGGACTTATCGCAAACAAGCATTAAAGAAAGTATTTTTCACAAAACAAAGCACACATAAATCAACCTGGGATGACAAATATTACAAGTATAAGTGCACTTTAGTTAAACGTAAAATGGAACTAATCCTCTTGTATGTTTCCTGGTGCTGCTTAAAAGATAAATCTGTCATCAACATAAATCAATCAAAAACAAATATTTAATTCGTACAGAAACATAAGCAACTGTCTTTACACAATATTATTTGATGATCAAAAACTAAAATATTCATAACTCATTCATAAAATGATTTAAATGTTTTTTTATACAATTATTTACTTTTGAAAACAAAACTGAGGATTTGAAGGAACAATGAATCTTCCTGTAAGTAAAACATGTCTTTACTGATCAGCTGAATATTGTGATTATATGTGTGACTAGCTCTTTGAGTTATTTTTGTTGTTGTTGTATTTTGTTTCTGAAATCTTTCATCGCTCACAGGAGCAATAGCTAGATGCAAAACAAGTGGTAGTGAATGGAATATCAAATATTCACATTGCATGACTGTCGGCCTGACACAAAACAGAAATCAATGGAGTGACATCTATTAAATATCGACTGAAAGCTGTCTGTGTGCTCTCATTGGTGTTGATTACGATTGGTGTTACTGGAGGGAGGGAGGGAGGGAGGGGACGAGAAGAGAGGAGTGTAAGTCAGGTTTATAAATAAAGCCCAAAATCACAAACTTAAATAGCTTTATGATTAAACCCTCGATTCAGGAGGAGAGGATGTGTTTGCATGGACACATATTTTGATCATCACCCTCTCACCTCCTGTTTTTTAATAAACACAGTTACTCAGTTATTACACGTATGAGAAGATGAAAAAGTGAAAGAGGAAGAGAGACGACATAGAGAGACAGACAGTCAGAATGAAAAAAAGAGGGAAAAGAGAAATGATTTACCAGCAACAGTTGAACGAGTGATAGTTTTGCCATGTTTTCTATTTTTTCTGCTTTCGTGAGCAATCTGGCAAGAACACACCGATGATCTATTATAAAGGATATAAATGATATAAATGATATATTATACATCAGTGGTTCCCAACCTGTGGGTCAGGAACCCCACTCACTTCCAAGAGCCTAGACCAATATCTCCGCAATTTGGTTCATTTCTTAAGAAAACTAAATTAAATTGTATTTTTCTTTAAGTTTAGATTGTATGTATGATTGTTAAAAAATTAAAAATACATAATACAGACAGAGTATTGTAGAAAACTTCCCTAAAAATTTCAGAAAAACTTATCTCTGATTCACAGGAAATAATCTGCTCAAAATTGATTCAAATGGTCTGTCTTTTCGTTCCGGTTTGTTGTTCTGTAGTATATTGTCTATGTGTGGATTTAATATGAAATATCCATGAAATATGTCACAGTCAGAGGTTGCTAGTTTACTCAATGAGAGAAAACGTTGGGAACCCGTTTTTATACACGATAATGATCTGATTCTGATAACTGATGAATATGCCCATTTGCTTTCTGCCCCACTCACTGCCGTTCTCTGGAGTTTCAAGTCTCCTGATTCTTTACTACTTTTTCTGTGTTTTAATTGGACGGGACTGAAGAAATTCCAGCATGTCAGAGTTACAGCTACAGTATCTGGTCATAAGTTACAACAGTTCCCATTTTTGTTCCAGTCAAATTTTCCACCTCACTGGAGACAAATCCATGTTTCTCTCCTGCAATTTGTTTTACACTGAAAAATGAGTTAGACAGTCAGAGCTCTTCAATAAGGACAGAAATAGGACACAATTAACAAGAAAACATCATTGCAGGTTTTGCTTTTGTAAACAAAACCTGCAAGAATGTTTTTTTGTTTCAGAAATAGAGTTGAGAGTCCGGGATAAGGTCAAGTTGACCTTGAGTTAAGATGTTTTTGTTTTGTTTGTTACTTTTTTCAAATTCCTTTTAGGGTGCAGAAACAATCTTTGTAACATGAAACGAATATACTGATTGTGGATGAATTCTAATTCAAAATGAGATACTTCAAGTTCACTTATAATCTTTACATAATAAGTCGAAAACTGCAATGATTGCATTTATAAAATAGAGCAGGTTGGATTACGTTAAAGAGCATGAGAATAGAAAAAGATGCACGATTCTCTACCTCAGTAGTAAATGCATTTGCATGTTATCAACATTATTAAATAAATGACAAAAGTAAGTATTACTTATTATTGTAAGCAATGAAAATATTAAGGATTATAACTTTAACTTGTGAGTTTATGTGAGTTTTTAAACCATTTTCCCCTAATTTGTCCTATAGGATGGTTACTAGACGTCTTTACTTATTATAACTGCTTGTATAGTTTCACATTAGAGGCTTAATAAGTGATTTAGAACCAATGTTTGGACCACTGATGGGTGTCAAGACAACTGGCTGCTCCACTGAGGCAACAACACCATAAACAGGCTTCAGTTTCCTTCAGCTGATGGAAAACTGAGAGCTAGAGAGGACCCCCGAGACCCGACAGGGGGAATGAGGTAACCAACAGTGGAAAAAACACTGAGGAAACAGTGCTTTTTCCACTGTTGGTTACACAAACACAATTATCTTATTTAATCTTTACTTATCTACACACACACACAGGACTTCAATAATACCTTCTGATTATTATATAACTGGCTAAAAGTCCTACAGGTCAGAGAGACTTGGCACTTAACACCCTACAGATCCTGATCACTTTTTATTAGACTATGTTCCAGAGTGAAACACATTAAGACGACCTGGCATTTAGGACCTTAAGGGGGTTCCAGGGGGTCCCCAGAAAATAGGGAATATTTTAGTTTCTCTATAATTTACTTGACTTAATGTTAACCCAATAAGAGTGTATAAGAATGACTATATAGTATTTCTCTTTACATGTTTCACACTCTTCACTGTTTATCTGCATTCTACAGCATAAGCAGATATGGAATAATTAAATCTTATCAGACAGGCATCCCTGAGACTACATCTTATCAAATATGGGTCCACTGCATGATGTGTATCATTTTGGGGGTTCTTGCCACCAAAAAGGTTGTGAACCACTGCTGTAACACAAGTAATCTAAAGTATGAACTCATCTGAGACATAAGCAGCCTGTAAACTTATATTCAATTCAAACTGACAGGAAATCCATTCATACATGTAGCTGTGTCATTTCTGAATAACAGGGTTGTTAATAAAGGTAACTGGTGCCACCTTATGGATGAAAGATGTTATTTCCTGGTTGCTGCAGCATCCAGTTCAAGTCCTTTAGTTTGTATTACGATTAAATTCATTTTTAACATTATTTTACATCTCTTTGTTACACAAACTGCCTTGTCAATCAGTCAAGGCTCATTTTCAGTATCACAAAATGATACTGTGATACTGATAATGATTTATGAGCTGTGACATACATCATTATTAAAAACCTAAATAATCCTAATCTTAATGAGCACCATTACAACACACACATAAAACAGTACACATGCTAGTTTAAGTGTTAATTATATATTTTAACATGAATCTGGTTGTGTTTACAGAGGCCTTGAACCCAACTCACCACAACCATTGACCAATACAGACAGCGCCAATGGTGTGTGTGTGTGTGTGTGTGTGTGGTGTGTGTGCGTGTGCGTGTGTGTGTGTGTGTGGGCAGTAATCCATAACAAAATCACCTGTATTGCTACAGATGCTGTACACAAATCTTAAGTAAATACACACCCAGTCACACAAATGTGACAGCCATATACCTGCACACAGGTATTGCAATGCACACACATGCCCACGCCCATCAATGCACACACACACTCCCACACACA